CAGACTATAACGTAAAAAACCAGTATATCTCTAAAACCAATTACGCTAGCGAACTGAAACTTAGAACTGATGCATATATTGCAAAAGAATTGGGAAAGGGGACGTGGCTCCTTCCTTCAATACAAACTGAACTTCTCATATACAAGCTTATCTCTGGAACCGCTTACGTTAACGTCCTGAAATTCTACACAGCTACATATCGTCGTACTTACGGCAAAAAGTGGTAAGTAATGGAAAATCCGGGGTGGCAACCCCATGCTTCTCATTTCACTTATCTCTGGAAATTCGCACGTTAACTTTCTGAAATTTGGCACAGCTACATATGTTATCAATAGCGTACTTATGGCGAAAAGTGGTAATTATTGGAAACACTGGATCGATATACATACATTTACGTACTCGCGCAAGTATCATTCGATTGGGAACTATTTTCTCCTAGATTTCTAAATCCCATTGCACTATTGTGACTTTGTTTTTAATTTATAGTAAAAGGTAAAATTTATGGGAAAATTTTGAAGAAGTTTTTTAAATTCTCGCAAGGGATGTTGCTTTGATTTTACGAGTTTCGCTAGAGACTATCCTATCTACATACCTATTTATATAAAATTATGCCGTTTTCGTTGTTCGGACTGAATTCAAAAACCACTGAATGGAGTTCCGTCAGATTGTCGGAGGTTATCTTACATACATATATGGTCCTATTACATGCTACAAGAAAACTCGCTAGGTGGTGCTGGAGTAGAGTTATTTATAAAAATCGTATTTTTTAACCGAATTCGTTCAAACTTTAAATGTGAGCTATGTACCTGTATGACGGAAAATTCTTTTGATAAAAGTTTACTCGATGAGTGCCGCTGAAGTCGAGGTAGAAATTCACAACAAGTACTCATTTTATGGTAAGCAATGGTTTTGCAGAAAATGGACCCAATGGATGGCGCTGCAGCCGAAATGTATAGAAACCCCGGGTGGTTGGTCTGCTTTGGCCCTATGTTTTAGTTATGCGAATTTAGATGTCTAAATGAAGGATGGAGTTAAGTTTGTCTGACGCCCTCACCTTTAATCTAATAATTATCTAATAAAATAATCTAATTAAGCTAATTTGATAAAATATAAAATTTTATTTTTTGAAGAAATCCAGTGATTTTGAGTGTTTTTTTCGACGAACCCCATTTTTGAACAATTTTTTTTTAATGTGAAGCAGTAACTATGGCTTAATAGCAACATTGTTCCGGTAAAGGTAATTACAATAGCTTTCAAATCCATTTTGTTATTGCTTCTGTCGAAAGCGCTACGATTAATTCGCATAGAGTGTCAAAAAGCACACTGTGCGGCGTTGGCCACATTAATGAAATTTAATTCATTATTATTAATTTGAAGGTTAAGTGCACGTTTTTGTGTTATGTTGATTTTTCTATTAAATCATAATTAACAAATCTGTCAGGTTTTAGAACAAAAGCTCATAATTTAAATACCCGTGAAGCGAAAAAAT